TTGGTTAATTATTATAGGAAGTTCGTAAGGAGCTTCTCTGCAATCGCTGCTCCCTTTCGCAGACTGCTAAAAAATGAGGCAATCTGGAAGTGGGACCAAGACAGTACATTGACCCTGAAGAAATTAAAGTGGGCCTTGATAGAGTACCCAGTCCTCAAGGTACTTGACCCATCCTTACCCTTTGTTGTTACTTGATGCAAGCTAATATGGCATTGGTGTTGTCTTACAGCAAGATGATGGCAACGGGTACAGACCCGTAGAGTTCATATCTGCTAGGTTGCCTTCAGAGAAGGTATCAACATCCACCTATGAAAGGAATCTCTACGCTCTCAGCCAAGCATTAGATCATTGGAGGCACTACTTGCTTAGGAGACACTTCAAAGTCTATTCAAACCACAAGACATTGAGGTGGCTGAAGACGCAGGCCAAGATGACACCTAAGCTTACTAGGTGGGCCGCCGAGAAAGACCAATTCGACTTCGAGATCAAGCCGGTCAAAGGAAAGTACAACGTGGTTGCCGATGCCCTTAGTATGAGAGCCGACTACTTTGGAGCTATAGTTCACTATATGGATATAGGGTCTGACTTATAGCAAAAAGTCATAGGCGCGTACGCACAGGACCCTATCTACAGTGACCTCCTTAAGAGAGTCAAGGAGGACTCAACCAATGAACCTCACTACCGCACCACTAATGGGTTATTGTTTGAGAAGACATATGTCGTAGATCGACTATGCATTCCCATCAGTGAAGAGATCCGCAGTTTGATCTTAGGGGAATGTCACAACATAGAAGAGCACTTTGGCTGGCAAAAGATATTAGCCAACCTGATGCGTGCCTACACATGGCCTGGCATGAAAGTTGATTGCATGGGGTATGTGCGTAGTTGCAAGGTATGCCAACGCAATAAAACTACGGCGCGAGCCCCATTGGGTCTTCTCAGACCCTTACCTATCCCATCAGGACTCAGAGACTCTGTGTCCATTGATTTCATGGATGTTGGGGTCAGTAGTAGGCATGGCAAGAGCCAAGTCATGGTTGTAGTTGATCGATTTAGCAAGTATGCAGTTTTTGTTCCTTTGCCCTCTGAGGCACGCATCGAAGTAGTGATAGAGAAGTTTTTTTACCATTGGGTCAGTGAGCATGGTTTATCGTTGTCAATAGTCAGTAACAGAGACACCAGGTTCATCCAAATAGTCTATGGTTCTAAGTTGTTGATGTCATTTGACCGTCATCCAGAGACAAACGGTCAGACTGCATAGATGAACAAGATCCTGCAACAAGTTCTCATAATGTACATTAGGCCAGATCAAGTCAACTGGGATGACATGCTCCCAAAGGTAGCCCGTGCTTACAATAACAGCGTTCATCTAGCCACTTGTTACACTCCCAACGAGTTAGACAAGTCCTTTAGACCGCGCAGACCGTTCGAGGGACTGAACCGAGACCAAATTCAGAGGCTATCGCCCGGTACCAGGGAGTTGGTGTTACAGCGCGAGAAGGAAATTGCCAAAGTGATAGAGAACCTCAGGAAGGCCCGACATAGAATGATAGAGCAAGCTAACAAACATTGTCGCCCGTCACAGTTTCAAGTAGGCGACCTTGTCTGGGTCAAGTCAAAAGAATTTACTCCTGAGGAGAACATCTCACAAAAATTGTTGCCTGTGTATAGAGGACCGTGGCCAGTTCTAGAAGTCAAAGGCGGAGACGATGGACCGTCTTACACAATGGAAATTCCAGCACACCTCCACACCTACCCAGTCTTCCATGCGTCAAAGTTGTTGCCTTGCACTACAAGTACGCAGTTCCCGTTGAGAAGATCCATGATCCCTCCAGATATGGACGGGACGTACGACATTGACAGCATAGTAGATGAAGATGTATTCAGGACAGGAGGTAGAGGTCATCCACAAAAACAGTATAAAGTCAGATTTGCTTACCAAGAGCCCGAGGACGATCGCTGGTTTACGTGAACAGAACTTCTAGAAACAGCTCCCGACATAGTCCGTGCCTACGAGAGAGCTAAGAAAGGTAAAGGTCCTGCTATAGATTGAATTATCCTCGGAGGACCTCAAATTTAGGCCGGCGGGATTGAAACGGTTTTCACCTTTGAGGTAGCAATTGCAGATCCCAGAGCTCAATCCCCAGCCCTCGCCCTTACCCGTGTATAGTACCAATGACTCGTGTATGCTTGAACCCACAACCTGTGTTTTGAAAGCCACCTGTTTGTTGCGGTAGGTAGGGTGGTCGTCGGGTCTTGAACCATAGGTCTGTAGGTTAGAAGGTCTTAGCAGTGGTAGAAGTCGTAGCTGCTACAGCGTTGAAAGGTCAAGTCGTAGCTGCTACAGTACTGAAGGGTCAAGCCACAGTCTTCCGGAAGTTCCAGAACTGGCCCTTCGTGAGTCATAGTGGTCAGTCCGTAGGCAAGTGGTCAAGTGGGCAGTCTTACCTTGCTTAGTCGTCGGTACCCAGTCCCAGTTGCAGCTTGTCAAGTCAGCCAGTACCATGTGGACTGTGTGCACCCCGGGCCCGGTGGAGAGGGGCAGACCAGCGACAATCCCAAGTATAAATCAAGAGAAGCAATCAGTCATTCATTCATTCTGCCTGTGAGCCCTGTGGAAGCCCTGTCGAAGTGTCTCGTGTGCGGAGGTCTGCAGGTGCCCGTTGACGAAGAGGGCTAAGAGGAGGAAGATCGGCCATAGCCGATAGTTAGTCAGTAGAGGAGAGAGGCGGCGGCCATAGCCGCGCGTCAGCGAGATTAGAGTGT